TTGTAATATATTTCTCAACTTTCTCGGGACCTGCAGCCAAGCTAACTGCTGCACTCATCGGTGCCCTACTGGCGCCAAACCGTAAACCCTAGGCCTCAAACCCTAAACCCTAAACCCTAAACCCTAAACCCTAGGTCCTACACCCTAAACGCTAAACCCTAGGCGTCAGACTCTAAACCCTCGTCTTGGCATTACACTCAATCTTTGCTCCACGGCATGGAGAGCCTTTGGCTCTAGGGTTTAGGGTTTGGGGTTTAGGGTTTAGGGTTTAGGGTTTGAGTTGAAGGCTGATGGGCGTTGAGTGAGAAGGACTGTACAGACACTCCGGGACCAACTTCTCTGTGTAGCAGCAGCAGCAGCAGCTGCTGCTGCTGCTGCACTGCGCAGCAAGAGCAGCAGCAGCAGCTGCTGCAGTGTTCGACAGAAGCAGCAGCAGCAGCTACTGCTGCAGCGGGTACAGCAGAAGCAGCAGCAGCATGCGCTGCTGCAGCGTATGCAACAGGAGGAGCAGCAGCACCTGTTGCTGCTGATACACCTCAGCAGCAGCAGCAGTAGCAGCAGCGGTCCGTGCTGCTGCTGCTATAGTTGCTGCAGCACCAAACACTGCTGCTGCAGCAATGGCGGCCTCAGCAGTAGAAGATGCTGCTGCGGCAGCTACTGTTGCTGCAGCAGCAGCAGCAGCAGCAGCAGATGCTGCTGCCATTAATGCTGCCAGCCTCAGATGCTACAACTGCAAGGAGCTGCAGGAATATGATGTCTCTTCTTTGTTCGTGGTGGTACGTTCTTGCTGCTGCTGCTGCTGCTGCTGCTGTTGCTGCTGCTGCTCTTTTTTCCCTGCTGTTGCTGCTGCTGCCGCTACTGCTGTTGCTGTTTTTCTCCTGCTGTTGTTGTTGCTGCTGCTGCAAGTGCTCTTACTGCTGCTACTATTTTTGTGCTGCTGTTGCTGCAGCCGTGCTGGTCTGCTGCTGCTGCTGCTGCTGCTGCTGCAAGCGCTCTTCCTGCTGTTGCTGTTTCCTGCTGCTGTTGCTACAACCGCTCTTGCTGCTGTTACTGTTTTTCTGCTGCCTCCAACATTTGGTGCAGCTCTGCACTTGTTGCTGCTGCTGCTGCTGCAGCTGTTGCTGTCGTGTCCTGCTTCCCAGCTTTTATGTGCTGCGGCTGCTGCTGCTGCTGCTGCTTTGTTTGCTGCTTCTGCTGCTGCTTCTGCAGTGCTTTTGCTGCTCCACAGTGAACTGCGTCGTGGGCGGCAAAAAAGGATTTGGTGGGAAGGTGAGAAGCTTTGCTGCTGCTGCTGCTGCTGCTGCTGCTTTCGCCGGTGTTGCTGCTGCTGGTTTCCTTGTTGCTGCTGCTCTTGCCCCTAGTATTCCTGTGGCTGCTTCTGCTGCTGCTGCCTCATTGCTTCTGGGTCCCTGGCTGCGACACTTGGAATCGCTCAAGCAGCAGCAGCAACAGCAGCAGCAGCAGCAGCAGCAGCAGCGTGTGCTGTGGTGTCTGTACAGGCCCTGTCTGTGCAGTGCAACAGCTGCTTGAGCAGCAGCTTTGTCCCTTTTGCTGCTGCTCTCGCTCGCTGCTGCTTTTGCTACTCCATTTGTGCAACAAGGTCCAGCAGCGCAAACCCTAAACCCCAAACCCTAAACCCTAAACGCCAAACCCTCAAATCCAAACGCCGGTCAGCCACGCGAAAGTCCCACTCAGCAAACCTTAAACCACAGAAGAGCGAATCCAGAGAGACCCTTGACGACACAGCAGCAGACCAACAGCAGCAGCAGCAGCAGCAGCAGCAACAGGCGAACGGCACAGCTGCTGCTGGACCCACAGCAGCAGCAGCAAAGCGTGCGGCGGGCGCCGCAGCACCAGCAGCAGCACCAGCAGCAGCACCAGCAGCAGCAGCAATAGCAACAGCAGCAGCGAAAGCAGTCTCAAAGATAACGCCTGTAGCTCCGCCGCCCAAGCCACGGCTGTCCCCTCAAGCAGCAGCAGCAGCAGCAGCAGCAGCAGCAGCAGCAGAAGGGGGCGGTGCATCTGCTGCTGTATCGCCCCGGAGCAGAATGACAAGAGAGCAGCTGCTGCAGCAGCTGCTGCTGCCTCCCTACGATGGCATTAACCTTAAGGAAGTCGCAGTAGCGAAGTATCCTCAGCAGCAGCAGCAGCAGCGACAGCAGCAGCAGCAGCAGCAACAGCAGCAGCAGCAACAGCAGCAGCAGCAGCAAGATGCTGCAGCAAAAAGGCCCTTGCTAACACTAAAGGCTCTGGCGCCTGTTGACGCGCGGCCATCTCCCAGGAGAAAGGAAGTCTCATCTGCCGCTGCTCCTGCTGCTGCTGCTGCTGCTCCTGCTGCTGCTGCTGCTGCTCCTGCTGCTGCTCCAGCAAAAGCAGCAGCAGCAGCAGCAAACAGTAGAGAGACCCAGAGTGCTCAAGGGACACAAGACCGCGCTGCAGTTGCTGCGCTTGTTTCTGCAGCAGCAGCAGCAGCAGCAGCAGAGAATCGCAGCAAATTGCTGCAGGAGCTGTCCTCTGATGAGGATTAGCTATTGAGCTATTGTGCCAGCTAGCTAGCTAGCTAGCTTTCTGACTAGCTAGCTGGCTCGCTGGCTAGCTAGCTAGCTAGCTAGCTTTCTGACTCGCTAGCTGGCTAGCTAGCTAGCTAGCTTTCTGGATAGCTAGCTGGTTAGCTAGCTGGCTAGTGAGCCAGCTTTCTGGATAGCTGGCTGGCCAGCTAGCCAGCTAGCTAGCTGGCCATGTAGCTAGCTACCTGGCAAGCTAGCTGGCTAGCTACATGTCAATCTTTCTAGCTAGCTAGCTGGCTGGCCAGCTGCCTAGATAGCAAACAAGCTAGCTGCCTTGTTAGGTAGCTAGCTGGCTAGCTAGCTGGCTAGCTGACTAGCTAGCCAGCTAGCTGGCTAGCTAGATTTTTCGTGTTGAACTAGCAGCTAGCTAGCTAGCTAACTAGCTAACTAGCTAGCTAGCTAGCCAACTAGCTGGCTAGCTAACCAGCTAGCTAGCTGGACCCGTTTGTTGGATTGCCTTCTGATAGATCTGCAGTAATCGGATTTGTTCATGCTGCTGCAGCCAGCTGCTGCAGCATGGACAAATCTGCAGCAGCTAGCTGCTGCAGCTAGTGCTGATCCGGCATAAATGCTAACAGGCAGCACGAACTGCTAGCTGCTGCAGCTAATAGTGCTGCAGTTAGTGCTACTGCAGCTAATGCTGCTGCAGCTAATGCTGCAGCAGCTAATGCTGCAGCAGCTAGTGCTGCTGCAGCTAGTGCTGCTGCATCTAGTGCCGCTGCAGCTAATGCTGCTGCACCTAGTGCTGCCGCAGCTAGTGCTGCAGCAGCTAACCAGTTGCCCTACGGCTTGCGATTGAGTGGGTGGCTAGCTAGCTGCAGCTAGCTAGCTAGCTAGCTAGCTAGCCAGGTAGCTAGCTAGCTAGCACGCGAGATAGTAAGCCAGCTAGATAGGTAGCTGCAGCTGGCTAGCTGCAGCAAGCCCACCAGCAGCTACCCCGCTACCTAGTTGCAGCACGCAGCAGCAAGCAGCAGCAAGCAGCAGCAAGCAGCAGCAGGCAGCAGCAAGCAGCAGCTAGCAGCAGCTAGCCGCAGCTAGCTGCTGCTCGTCGGCTCCTGGCCCCAGAGGAGTGAATGTACGGACTGGGAGCAACCCTAAACCACAAACCCTAAACCACAAACCCTAAACCCTAGCTTTCTACACACACCTTGCAGCGGGGTGCGTGAATGTAGTTTGTTTGTCTTTAATGCGGGAAATTGTGCGAAGAGGGTTTGTTTGGATTTCATCGGGAGGTTAGGGTTTAGGGTTTAGGGTTTAGGGTTTAGGGTTTAGGGTTTAGGGTTTAGGGTTTGTGGTTCTGGTCTGGTCACCATGGCTACCAGGTAAGCCCTCTTTTTCTTCTGTGTTCTTAGAAGGACAGAAATAAAACTAGATTAAATAATCTAATTTATTTAATAAAATTTAAAGTGCAAGGCTGAGGGTTTAGGCTAGGGTTTAGGGTTTAGGGTTTAGGGTTTAGGGTTTAGTGTTTGGTGCACCGGGGTTGCCCAGCGGTCAGGGTCACCTAGGGGGTGGGCTGTTAGCCCTCTTTGGACTTTTACTTCCTTTTAGTTGAATAAAATTTGAAAAATTAAATTTAATTTAATTAAAATTAAATTAAAACTCCGGTTTATTGCTGCTAGCTGCTGCTGCTGCTGCCGCTGCCGCCTATCTGCTGCTGCTCCAGCAGACAGGCAGCCGACGCATGCACACTCTAGAGAACCACTGCAGCAGCAGCAGCAGCAGCAGCAGGACAAGGCCCTGCGTTTGTTAATATCGAAGGCAACTAACAGGTACTGCGACCGCCGCATTGAACGCGGTGGCAGCAGCAGCAGCAATAGCAGCAGCAGCAGCAGCAGCAGCAGCAAAGGAAACTTCTCGCTGTCCTTCTGCAGCACGCACACGAGATACTCACGCAGCAGCAGCAGCAACAGAATGTTTTAACTCTTCTTTCTTCTGATTTAGTTCGAAGGTACAGCAATAACTGCAGCAGCAGCACCGGCAGCAGCAGCAACAGCAGCAGCAACAGCAGCAAAGTCCTGCCCTGCCAGATGCAGCAGCAGCAGCAGCAGCAGCGGAGTGCCTCTCCTCCCGTGCAAGAGGCAGCAGCAGCAGCAGCAGGAGCGTCTTTGATACCCTTCAATGGCAACGGCAGCAGCAGCAACAGGAGCAGCAGCAACAGCAGCAGCAGCACAGTAGGCCCCCCGACTCCAGCAGCAGCAACAGCAGCAGCAGCAACAGCAGCAACAATGCCAGTCCCACCGCCGCTGCCACCTCCACCGTCGCCAGAACTAGCAGCAGCAGCAGCAGCAGCGCCGCCAATGAGGGAGTGCGGTGTCTGTACACTGGAGGGGGCCCTGGGCCCCCCCG